AGACCCTGCCATTACGCTCCATCTGTCTCAGGCATGGAGGTGACCGTATAGCATCTTCTTCGAAGTGGGGCGATTATCTCCCCGGCCCCCAGACCAGAGGAAGACATTCCAATCTACCATTCCAAATTACATTACGATCTACAATGCTAGTGGACTTGAACTTTGTTCTGTTGCTCCAAACCAAGATGGCTGCCCACTCGAATCCACAAAGGGACAGCCACTAATCCAAGGATTCCACCTCAGTAGTGGAAGCAGCCCTCCCTGAATAGAGAATTCGATTGTGGCACTGACTTTCCATCAAAGAAAGGTGCGGCGGGGATTTCTGTCTTTGGAAGTTCTCACTTATGTAAAAAAAAAATTGCTGCACAGGGGCAGCTACCATGTCAAGCAGACTTGTGTTTACCCATCTTTTCACCTAACAGCCACCAAATTCTGCCATGAGCCTTGAGAATGATAGTGGTACCACTGAGACGTCCAACCACATTTTATAGCTCCTCTGATTTGGCTCCCCAAATGGAACACAAAGAAGAGGATATTAGTCCCACCAGAGTCCTTTTCACCGAGAAAGGTTCTCAAGCAAAAAAGATATATTAGCATAGAGTTGGGTTCCTCAATTCTTGACATTCCCCATCCACCCCCTTTTACTCATCCAACATCTTTACAGTGCCCCTCAAGCCCTCCACACACACACACACACACACACACACACACACACACACACACCCAAAAAAAGTCAGGGCTCTTCCATTAGCAGAAAGGGGGAAGCATGCTAGCTCCACAATGTGGGCTGAGGGAAAAGGCAAGAAAGAACTGTCCCACACAGTCGCCCAACTTCTCCTCTACACTCCCCGCCACCTCAAGACACAGGGAAACAAACAGTGAATGCACACACACAGTTTATTGCAGGCTTGGCTCTGGCTGGACTTGCTGGTTAGGATGCGCAAAGGCTAAGGTCAGGGCTCCATCACCGGTACAAGTAGTCAGCTTGTATGTTAGCAGCAATCTCAGCTTCCCACTTGTCACCATTGTTCAACAGCTTCTCTTTGTTGTACAGGAGCTCTTCATGCGTCTCAGTGGAGAACTCAAAGTTGGGGCCCTGCAGAAAGAGCTGAGGTCACAAACACCCAGAGAGGACCTTCTCCACCCAAAAGCTAAGGGTATTGCTTACTTTCTCTGTCTCAACTCAGGCTTCCAGACAACAAATCCAGAGTGGGCAGAAATCTACAGAACAATACCCCCTTGCTTAGCCTGAAGACTCTACACCCATCCACCCATTCACCTCCACAATGGCATCGACTGGACAGGCCTCCTGACAGAATCCACAATAGATGCATTTAGTCATGTCAATGTCATAGCGGGTGGTCCTCCGGCTGCCATCTGCACGGGGCTCTGCCTCGATGGTGATTGCCTGCAGAGGGGGCAGCAAGAGAGATGACTTACTGGCATGCAATAGTCCTCGAGTCCCCACTCCAGAGGGCAGGGCAAGCTGGCATCAGGATGCAAGAGGGGTAGTGGATTTATCTCTATTGTAATAGAATCCATGTCCTCTGGAGTCAAGAGGCAGCAGGCACAGCTAGATTTGACAGAACTGCTGAAACTGGGATATGCTGTACAGTACTATCGAAGAGAATAGCCTCAGGTCTAACAGGGACACCACACCATCAGTAGAATTCTACTGAACTCCAGCAGCAAGAAGGAACAGCCTTCCAACAAGCGTCTCCTCATCCCACTGCAATGGAGGAAACCTCTTCTTGGCATCAGCTGTACAGCCACCTATTCAGCATAAACTCCCACACAATGACAAGATTACTTTAGGAATGTAGCATATCATAGCCAGATATGTATGGATAGGGAAGTCTGCAAATCACCTGGCTCAACCATTCTTACACAGCTCAGATGGCGCAGGTAAATCCCACCAAGGTCAACGGGGTTCGTTCACAAGTAAATTGGCATAGGATGGCATCATTATGGTGAAAAAATTGGCAAACCCATCTTACTACAGAACCTTTGCTGCTTGGCTAGACACATCTCATCACCAATGGCATCATTTCCCACAGGCAATTTATCTTTCTTTCCACTGTTGTCTTCACAAAGCCCCAGGATGTATGTGAAAGGTTGTTGTTGCCTCTCTATCCTTGTACATGTCCTTTTAGAGACAAACATGAAAGAACCAGCTCACAGGCAGTTTGAGAAGAACCATTCCGCAGTACTATACCTAATGCAAATGCCATCAGAGATGGAATCTCTCTAGCCCGTGTGGTATTTTTCAGGCGCATATCTGAAAAATATCCATGCTTGATGAATCACCATAAAGAAGTAAGCCTATGTAAATTTATTTGTAAGTTAACTGTAACTCAGTTAGAACTTACCTGCTCCAGATGGGCTATGAGAAAGAATATCTCCAATGTAATATGCATGTCTCTGTATGCAGACAACTTCTAACTGCAATATGCAGCTGGTAAGTAGAAGTGGGACACTTTTACACTTGGCTCCTATGCCACATGGAGAAATCAGTATCATGAAGTTGCCTGACCAGGGCACAGGGAGACAGGTAACCACAGGGGCCTCACCTGGGCTGGGCAGATAGCTTCACAGAGCTTGCAAGCAATGCATCTCTCCTCTCCAGATGGATATCGGCGTAGGGCATGCTCCCCACGGAAGCGTGGGCTCAGGGGACCCTTCTCAAAGGGATAGTTGATAGTGGCAGGTTCCCTAAACAGATAGCTCAATGTCATAGCCAAGCCTATGGGAAAATGCACACCAAAAATTATTTACGTTAAAACACAGACCATTCCATCTCCAAAGTGCACGGCAAACTAACAATATCCCATTAAAACAACTACAATTTCAGCAGGTACAAATATCCCAAAAATGTACAACAGTGCTACAATTTACCTTTGCCTAGGCTATGCAGAAATTACTACCGGGGCTATTTTGTCTTGACTTTCAAACCACAGTGCTTTTTTTCCTAGAGGATCCGTTGTCCTGCAGTTGTCCACTTTCCGAGAATTCCCATCATTTCTCAAACCTACTTCACTATGATCTTTCACAGATCATGGCAGTCAAAGCAGGTTCTCTCATGGTGTAGATGGGAAGATTCAGATGTTTCAGCCTCCCCACCACACTGGTGCCATTTCAAAGTCCTCATCAGCTCTTGCGGCCTGGAGATTGTCTCCTTTGGCTGCCGGCTCCCCAACTGCACTTCTCCCCTGAGCTCAAGTCCTGCTCCTCAAGGCCGCTGCCTGACACTGGCCCCTCCTGTTCCAGGCACTACCCACTTGCTAGTCTACTCCTGCTGCCGCCCACCTCTCCCCCCTTCCAAGCACGGCGTGCAGAGGGGAACCGTAGCCCAGTGGAGAAGCACTCCGTAAAGCCTCCAAGGAGAGGGGATAAAGGGGGGGGCAATTTCTATCCCCCCCCCCGGTGTGCATTGGGAGGAGGACAGCAGCTGTGGCGGAAGTTCAGAGAGGAGACAGCAGGTGTGCAAATGCCCATGAGAAGAGAATGAGGAAGCACCGTCACGTGGAAGCAGTCCAGGTTCCCAGCTCAATGGTGAGCTACACTTGCGACTACCCTCTTCCCACCACCCTCACCAGCGGTGACAGGATACAATGCAGTGCTATGACAGCTACCCCCACAGCTCTGCATTTCTCAACTGTGCCCCAAAAGAGAGTGCAAGAGCCTTCCTACAACCGCCCCAGCCTAGTGCTGACTGACAGCTGCCACCACGAGGTCTTCCAGGTCTACCAGTGAGCTCCTTAGAGAAGAGCAAGATAAACATTAATAAGCTGCTTAACTTTTTAAAATATACCCAGTCTGAAATTAAAAGACTGGGCCAGGCCTCTGGAATACAGCTGCTGTGATGGAAGGAGGACAGCGGTCTCCATGCCAGTGGGAAAGCCAAAAGTAGGGGGAAACGAGCAGTAGAGGGAGAGCCCATCGTACAGATGGCTGGAGTCTGCTACGGGCTATCTGTACAATTCATTCCAAGACTATTCTAACATCTTAGCCTCAGGTCTTTCAATGCTTCTGATAAGTTTGTTTATTTATTAATTTAATTTCTATCCCACCCTCCCTGTGAACAGGCTGAGGGCAGGTGACGACGTGAAAATTATAACAGTGATCACATTAACGTTCTAATAACTTCAATTAAGATCACACACAAAAATAAAGATGGCATTCTGAAAATCATACTATCCCAGTTCTGTTTCAGATAATGATATTCTGATATGGCTTGAGCCAAGGATTCCCGAGTTAACTAGCTCCCTGCCAGCAGCAGCTGGACAGGGACTTTGAGCAGGAGGGGCTGACAGTATTGGGCGCCCGCTGCCTCAATGAACCATGGCAAGGACACAGTCCACAACTCCCCCCCCCCGCTGCCTCCATCATGGCTCAGGACAGGGCTGCCGGGGTGAGTGAAAACGGAGGAAGCCGTTAGCCTTGGCGCAGCAATCCATTCTATGCCTTCATGATTCCGACTCTTCCCCTCTTCCCCACCTACCCAATACCACAGGGTCACATAACATATTTTTACTACCCCATCCTATTCCAGAATCATCCTCACCTCGTATGAGCTCCGTCCACAGTAGGGTCTGTGCAGCTCTGTCCGTGATAGATTTCATGTCTGTCGGCTCCTCTTTTACATTTACATATTCTGCAGTCCCCCGAAAAGATAAATAAATACAATCCTCATGACAAAATCTATTGTGGAAGTAGTGCAGGCAAAGATCCTACATGGCAATGATCGTGGAAACAGAAATGTCTGTCAAAGCAAGTGTTCATGCACCATTCTCAGAGCGACTGTGCCTATTATATGTGCATGATGTTATCTTCTGGATGACATGGACAGCATTAAAGGGGAAACGAAGCAAAGCTGAATTTTGTACTCCCTAAAAGGAGCAGCTCTTGTTCCTGTGAGGTAAAAGAGAGCCTGTTGAACCAAATTATATTCCAGGCAAGCAGTTGCTATATCCCTGACAGAATCTTGTGTGTGGACATGAAGCTATACTTACTGTAGGAGGCTTTTGGGACTGTGTTGCTGAGGAATCGAGCAAGGCTCAGGCACACCGGAGGCCCTAAGGAAAAACAGAAAGGTTGGACAACTTGCCATAGAGAAGGGGTTACGGACCCCTGAAGCCCAGCACAGCAGAATAAATACTGGAATTGTCTAAACCGTAACCTAATCAGAGTCTTTCCTAGAAGATCACTTCCAAACCATTAGCACAAGATGCCAGGACATACCATCAAGCTACTTCAGCCAACAGAGGCCCAGGTCACAGACAGGAACTGAAACATGGCCTTGAGAATATTAGCCACCCAATGAATGCAATGACCAAGCAGAGATCTGACCCCCACAATCCAGATTGTCTGTCTGGATACCACAAAACTGTCGATGCTTACTGGAAACAGAGTGAGCACTTACTTCTCTGTGACAAGAGTTTAAAATGTCAGCGCTCTACTTTAGAAAGAGCAAGTAGTGTTTAGGGAGATATCATGAGAGGTTTATAAAATTATGAATGGTGCAGAGAAAATGGACAAAGGACTCATTTGGGCCGACTCAGAACACTAAAACGCAGAATTACCTAATGAAGGTTTGAAACGGACAAAAAGTACTACACACGAGGGGGGAAAGTACTTCACTGCAAAATGCTGTGACATCCACTAGCACAGCTTAAAACAAAGAACTAGACAGACCCACAGAGGAGATAGATCTATCAACTAATATTCACTGTTAAACAGTGAGAACAAAACAGAGCTTCCATATTTAGAGTTATATCAGAGATCACAACAAACAACAGGAGCATCCTATCCCTTTCATACCATTTCTGGTCTTCCAAAAATTATCTGGTTGGCAATTGTCGGAAACTAGATGTCAAAATAGATGGACTTTTGATTTGATACAGCAGAGCTCTTCTTAATTTCTGCCCATCAAAAGCAGAGAAAGCATTCTACAGTCTTCTCCCCGCCCAACTACATATCTTCTTGTTAAAATGATGAACTCTCAGTGAGTTTATGAAATAAACCCAACTCTTACACACACTATAGAAGGAAGAAAATTATTAAGCAGTCTCCAGTTACTTTGTTTATTCCATATCTACCAGGCACCACAGCTCAAAACACTGCATCGCCAATAGTGAATTTCAGAACCTCAGTACTATTTTCTAGTCCCCCTCACACTTTACTTCAAGCCACATCACCACCAACTACATATACTGTGTGCTCAGGATCTGGTATTTAGATGTACACTAGGGAATAACTAAAATTAGTACTTTGGGAAACTCTAGAACAAGGTGTGCTGTTTTTAAAGTAATACTAATTGTCTGCTGCAAAGTTGCAACCTACTCATGGTGACCCCAGGACCATGGCCGTTCCAATGCAAGAGATGAGCAGAGGTAGTGTGCCATCTTCTTCTCCTTCTGCATAACAACCCGAGTCTTCCTTGCTGTTTTCCCATCCAAGTACTAACCCTAGCCAATCCTGCTTAGCTTCCAGGATCTGATGAGATGGGGTAAGTTGAGGCTATTTTGTACAGTCCAATAAGGTCAAAAGCATAAAATCTTAATGTATGAGATCTCAAATAAGTGTTCAGAATCTAACAGGAAATCTACCTTATCACCTGCTAGCAGAATTCCATTTGGACGCCCACTCACTCCGAAGGATGTTTGACACCATCATAGAACATTAGAGTTGAAAGGGACCTTGCAGGTCATCTAGTCCAACCCCCTGCACTCTGCAGGGGCATAGCCGAAAGATAGCCCTACAACATTACTGTAATTTTATCCTAGCATGCTATCTGTGAAAGGGAAAGGACCCCAGAAACACAAAGCTTGAAAAGAGAGCTACCTTGCCAATACTCGGCACACTTCAAAGGACAGGATAAATACATACCTCTTGTATTGCACCAATATGATAGTGACAAGCCGGCATTCTGCATTTTGGCCTGAGTAGCTATCAATCCTCTACATAAGTGAACTGTAGAGACTGTGAGGAGTTCACACCTCCTCTACCAATGACCTACACCTCTCTCAGAAGGCCAGCCCCACATCTGCAAAATGACTGGTTTAGAGGGCAGTCACTGTGGCATCATGCCATGGGGGACAGGAGGCCACCGGCTCGGAGTAAAAAGACGTACTCATGTCTATTCAGAGGGAAGTCTCACCGGGTTCAATGGGGCTTCCTTTCCAAGCAGCATGCATGAGAGTATGGCCTTGCAATCCAGCATTATCATTTCCTAGCATCCATCATTTATGCAGCTAGAGGACCATGACTCAAATGCTAAAGAACTTTATCACTCTTATCACATTTAGTCACACAATACTGAGACTTGTCACATGCCCCAAACAGCACAGCAAATGTGGTGGATTGTCAAGTATTTGAACCCGGGCCTCCCTCCGCAGTCACTTCAACAGTTTTATCTACAGCATAGTACATAGTATGTATTTATTTATTTACATTGCATTTATATACTGCCCATGACTGAACAACAACAACATGACCCCTAATGGGTCTCAGAGCAGTTTACAGTGTACTGCTACTGGTATAGTCGCAGTAGTTAACCTACCTAGGGCCACAGATTTTTTAGGGGGGGACTTCCCTACCGACACCCTTGTTGGTGGCGCGTTCTCTCTTCTTTCCGGTGGGGTATAGCTACAGTACCTCCAGCACGAATAGCCCTTGAACCCTCCACCCCTGACGGCATTCAGCATCACAGACCAAAATTAGTATCCTGGTGTTACCCACAGGAAACAAGGCAGGCAGGCAAGGATCAGACCCAAACCCAGCCCTGGAGCAAAACGTCTCCTTCCTGCAGCCCTACCTGCTCGGGAAGCTTGGCTCACCATCCAGAAGGCAGGCATCCTCAACACCAGGAGTGCAGCGGATTCCCCTGTGGAGGAGAGAGAGAGAGAGGCAGGCAGGCAGGTGAGCGGTCAGAGTCCCCCTGCGGCCACTCCGGGGTGACCCACGAGCAATGTCCCCTCTAAGCTGTGGAGTCTCGTGAGCAAAAATTCTACTTTGTGAGCCGCTGGCATTAAAGTTGCGAGCGAGGCATTTGGATACTGCATCCATCAGTTTGCTCTGGAGCCCCATCCTTCCCGAGCGGAGACAAAAAATGTGTGCGCTGGAGGCTAAAGAACTGTGGGCTGGCTCACACGAACTCAGCTTAGAGGGAACACTGGCCACGAGGGTTTCGACAGTGTCGGGATGTGCCCGAAGGACCCTTCCCCGCACCTGCTGCTACCTGCGCGCCTCTGAAGCGGGAGATGCCGCCCGAGGTTGACCTCCGCGGCTCCTTCGCCCAACACAGGTGACACCGCCGAGCGAGCCGCCCCGTCCGGCCGGCATGACTTGGCGCATGCGCTGTCGGGCGGACGGGCTTGATAACGCATGCGCGTAGCGGAATTTTGACGGTGCAAGGCAGACGCATGCGCGCGGCTGGCCGCGCGCATGCGTCTGCCTTGCACCGTCAAAATTCCGCTACGCGCATGCGTTATCAGGCCCGTCAGCGCATGCGCCAAGTCATGCCCTCTGCGACCGTCCGTGAAGGTGAAGATGCTGAGGGGTACCCTCCCTCCCTCCCTCCCTCCGCATAGGAAGAATCCCTCGGAGTCTGGCAGGACGATCCACCTGCCCAGCCACCCGGCGACAGGAAGGGGCCGGGGGGACTCACCCGCGAGCGACCACCGACCCCACAGCTCTGCTCCGAGGCGCCGGGGACCCGGGAGAGCGACGGTGGCCAATGACCGCCTGGCCGCATTCTCATTGGCCGAAGGAGCCCCGAGGGGGGCGGGACTTTCTCTTTGGTTGGTTAGAAGGCTGGGGGACGGCAGGATGCTTTGTTGTTGTTGTTGTTGTTGTTGTTCAGTGGCACAGTCGAGCCCGACTCTCCGCGACCCCATCATGGACCAGATCACGCCCAATGTTCCCTCTAAGCTGTGGGGCCTTGTGAGCAAAAATTCTACTTTGTGAGCTGCTGGCATTAAAGTGGTGAGCGAGGCATTTGGCTACTGCATAAATTAGTTTGCTCTGGAGCTGTTCTTCCTGAGCTAAGACAAAAATGCGTGAGCCAGAGGCTAAAAAACTGTGAGCTAGCTCACACTAACTCAGCTTAGAGGGAACACTGATCACGCCAGGCCCTCCTGTCTTCCGCTGTCCTCTGAAGTTGGCTCAGTTTCATGTTCGTTGCATCTGTGACACTGTCTAACCATCTCATCCTTTGAATGCTTAGGTGGAGTATAGAAAGAGGTCTCTGACAACAACTGTCCGTGATTGGCTGCAATAAACTTCAGAAAGCACGTGGATTGGAGAACAGGTTTTAGTGAAGGGTCGCAGGTACTTGTTGGGAGTGTCGCCTGTCTTCCTTCTCGCAGGTAGCCCTGTTGGACCGTCTGAAGCAGCAGAACACAGTGTCTGAAGAAGTGTGCCTTGCGCACGGAAGCCTGTTGTTGTTGTTGTTGTTGTTCAGTCGCACAATCGAGTCCGACTCTTCGCGACCCCATGGACCAGCTCCCGCCAGGCCCTCCTGTCCTCCGCCGTCCTCTGAAGTTTGCTTGAATAAATTTTTGTTGGTCTTAAAGGTGCCCCCACAGGACGACTTTTCCCCCCTTAAAACACCTTTATTTTCCTCTCCCCCGTAAAAAGCACACTTTGGCAGCCATTCCCCCACCACCACCACACACACACACACACTAAACATCCCAGCAGACTCCTCCGGCAATCCCATTGGCGAAGGCATGCCCTTAAGGGGGTGGGGCCAACATCTGTCACTACAGTTTTTTCGTTTGAACAAATGAGGTATATACCCTATCTTCTCTTACCATTTTCTGCAGAGCAAACCTATATAATGGCCACTAAATAAACATACAAACAGATTCCAAGCCCCACCTCTGTACAGGAGGGTTGACAAATTTTCTTTGGCTCCAGGAGACAGCCCCAAAATTTTGGAGCCAGGCTAATTTTTCAGCCTTCATGTTTTGGCCTTTTACTGACTCTGGCTTGGATCCTGTGAACAAGTTCCACGCAGGCTAGATAGTATCCACCACAGAGAGTGCTTCCTCTTCCTCTAAAATCTCCATTTGTTCAAGGCCCCGTTGAAAACCACTGATCTTGAGCGGGAGGGAGGGAGGGAGAGGGGTGGTCGTGGGCTGCACACTCAGCTGGCAAACAGACCCTTTGCTCTTTTTGTGAGCCAAGCATGTGATCCCTCCGTCCTTCCTGCTCGATTTAAAGGGGCCTCCAGCTGGTCAGCAGGCCATGTGGTCCCCGTCGATCAGCTGAAGCCCTTTAAGCTGGGGAGGGAGAGGGGTGGCCAGGTGGGTGGTTGCTCTTGGGGGCGGGGTTTGGGGGGCATCTCCACCCACCCCCAGAATGCCCCCCAAATCCCCCCTCTGGAGCGATGAGGGGACCTGGCAACTCTAAACTAGATGCTCTGCAAATGCTGTGCAAAGAATAATAATAAACAGTCAAGAAGAACTGACATGAAGGTTTGATGTGAGATCTTTATTACAGAAGCAAAACACGGACTTGCAAACGGCAGAGCTATGCAAGACATGTCAGTAAGGCTGCAATCCTAAACATAGTTACTATGGAGAAAGTCCTTTTGAATTTGGTAGGCTTTATTTCTTAGGTGCAAGCTGCAGCTATTGATGGGGGGGGGGGGATCTGAATTCTGGGTATGATTACTGTGCAGAAAGTGATAGTGAAAAAATTGTGGCCTGCCAGAAAAGTTATCTCTATGAAAGCAAGCTTGGCTACATGGGAGATACATGAGTAACAGAAGGACTGCTTGCATTGGTTCTACTTCTGAATCTGTTTGGACTTAAACTGCCTTTACACTTTCATCCATACATTCTGTTATCATTCCTTAGAGACCTCAGTATTCGTCCTTCTGCTTTCATTGTACTAATTTGGTTACACTAATGTAGACGACTACTTCACTAAACAGATGGGACAGTCCTCTTGGAAAAGGACTGGAAACTAAATCAGGTGCAGAACTGGTTTTCATAAAATAATTCAAATGGAAATTAAACTGCCATCCTGAAGCAACACTTTGCACTGTCTTCGGTTAATGGTACTGGTTTGTCCTAATTGGAGAAAATTCAGCGTAGGAATGGAGGGTGTATCGTTCAATTGCATTAAACCACATTTACTAGTCCTTTGCATTTTCTTACCCTTCCCAGCAATGGGCAAAGATAGACAGGAGCAACACAGATATGTCCTACCTAGTACCACACTGAACATTTATACACAAGACCTACAAGAGTGAGATTATAATGGGTGCAAGGTTAGAGGTAAGATAACTGGCCGGGAGCCAAGTCAGGGGGCAAGGTTTCTGGAGAAGGCCAAGCCTTTGCAGTAGCCTTTTTTAGGAGGTGTCACTAGATTCTACAAACAGCAAAGGAGACAGAAACGGTCCTTCTCTCCTGCGGGCTGCAGCTCAGTTCCTTCTAGCAGCCCATCTGAACAAAAGGCCTCTGCTGTTGAGGGAGTTCATTCACAGCAGGGTGCAAGGGTTCCAGCGCCTCACATCCGTGCCAAACTTCAGTATTCGCAGCTTGCTTTCAGTGTAGGGTGGGTAGCGTACAGAGTTGACTGTTTCAAAGGCCATGGAGCGAATCATGCAGCCACGTTGGTGAGTAAAAGTGTCGAAGCTGAACCTGCCATGATATTTGCCAAGCCCACTGCATCCTGCAATAGATTCACAAAGAAAGTATGCAGATCAAATCCTATGCAAAGGCTCTATCCATTCTTCTTCACCCAGGCAAGATCACAAGTGTTCCCATTTAATGTTGCTAACATTTACACAGTACGTTTACACTCTGTTTTCAAGCTTGTTCAGACATTATGTTGTATCTCTAAGTAGTAAGGTAAAGGTTTCCCTCGCTTGAAAGCCAGTCAAATCCGACTAGCAGAAGATCCAGCGCTGTCCAAAGACATTTCCGTGGTCACGTGGCCGGCATGACTAGACGCTGAGGCGCACAGAACGCTGTTACCTTCCCACCGAAGCGGTACCTATTCATCTACTTGCAATTGCTTGCTTTCGAACTGCTGGGTTGGCAGGAGCTGGGACCAGAGACGGGAGCTCACTCCGTCATGTGGCACTTGGGTCTCGAACTGCTGAACTACCGACCTTCCGGTCTGCAGTTCAGTGGCTTAACCACTTGAGCCACCGCAGCCCATCTCTACGCAGTGGCTGAGGTTATTCGATAAAAGTCAGCTAGGCCTTGCCAGGGAATATAAGCTACCTATCTCTAGTCTATAACAAGAAGTTGTAGCAGCCGTAAATAGGGAATGTGCTTGGGGACAGTGCTATGATGCTTGTATAGACATCATGCTCTAGAGCCACTGAAAAAGCTGATTCACACACTAAGAGAGGCAGGGCAGACTCTGCTCTTTACTGTCATTTGTGTAAGAAAGGGGGTTCCAGGTTGAAGGTTTCAAGGAGGAGGCAGCAGACTCCCCTGCCTGTTGATGACTTTTCGTACATATCTTATACATCAATTAAGTCATCTGCTGCTTAACACGAAAGATTTGGCTTAATTATTTAGCTACTTACTTGGAATTAATTCCTGTTGCACCTTGTTGCATGAGGACTGCGAAAGTGCAAGGAGCAGTTCGGGAACCTATCGAGATAACAGTTTTGCCCCTCCTGGTTCCAGAGATAATTTCAAAAAGAAATGCTGCCGCTATAATTTTACATGCTGCCCGTGAGAACGGAGGGAATGCCATGGAGGACGATTGCAGAAGGAAGAGACAGAAACAGTATAGGAGATAAAGAGCTAGTCATACCAAGTCCACCAAACGGTAGGGAGACCAACGTCATATGCATCAGGCCATCATTCCCAGAAAAGCAACCACTGCTGGTGCAGTCCAATACCCGGTGCAAAATCTAAGGAAAGAGGGGGGGGAAACTATCAAGAGTCACATTTCCCACAACCATTTCAGCTCAGGAAAACAGTGCTGGGGGGGGGGGGCTTAAACCCCTTCTCCTACCACACTATGCTCCTGAGACAAATCTTGCTTTAGACCCCTGAAGTTGTATCTGACTAAAAGGAATAGAGTGGGTCAGGGAAATAGTTAGATAACAGCCGATATTAGCACATTTGGGCCTAACACTGCTACTTCTCGGGTGGATTTTGTAGCCAGTACAGCCAGGATTTCACGACAAGCAACAGATACTACTAAGCCTTTGAGGTTTATATGCAGGTATGTATATGTAAGATGATGACAGAGTAACACATTCACAGTGGCAGTTCATGCAATAATCCTGTCTTTCCAACTGTGCTAAGGTAATTTAACACCCATAAATGAGTAAAAAAATTATAATAATGAAAAAGGCCATCTTAGCCAGCTAAAATCAAAGCCTAAAAAGCAATCACACCTACTATAATATCCTCTTCTGCTTCAGTGTTAGAAGCATATATGAAAGGCTTCTTTTAGAAAATAATTTTTAAACATTTCTAAGATCATTTTCAGATGGAAAGGTCTTTTCCTGGAAGAATAGCATTTTCATTGGGTAACACCCAGTGTTGGACAAAGTGCAAAACCCTCAAAAGAGTATAAGTGGGGGAGGGGGAGAGATTATGAACACAGTGGGGTTCACAGTAGCACTTGTAAGTGGGGGAGGGGACCATGTAGTGATGTCATAGCCAGTGATGTCATAGCCACCATAAACTGGGTGGCCCCAGGACTAAAGCAATCATCTCCCCCATGCCAAAAACTCCCACAGCAGTCATTCTAGTTGGGTCGGAGTCACCGTTTAATACTAATCACACCTCCAGATGGAATAGCTGACGAACAGAGATTTCCCCCATAACATGGTGGTGGACAGTACTGTCCAGTCGCAGCCAACTTATGGCGACCTTGTAGGGGTTTCAAGGCAAGAGACATGGCCTGCCATTGTTTGCCTCTGCTTAGTGGCCCTGGACTTCCTCAGTGGTCTCCCATCCAAGTACTAACCAGGAGCAACTGCTTAGCTTTCGAGATCTGGCAAGATCAGGCTAGCCTGGGCCAGCATAACATACCCAGAGATTTTCCCAATAGCAACATGCATTGTTGTTGCCTTATACTTGAGGCAACAACAGCCACCCACACAGGGCAATCTGGATCGCTTAAGAGATCCTAAGCAACTTCTGCTTTCCAAGAGCTGGGAACCCCAAAAAGGAGGTGAACTTTATGATATTTTATATTGTTATCTGGTCCCAGCCTCCTGTATAGGGCTGGCTACGAGAACAAAGCATACCTGGCGGTTACAGGAGTAAGCATAGGCAAGCAGTGGGCGGTCCCTGCAATTGATATATTGAATGGCTTCTTCCAAGCCTGCCACGGTGAAAATGGGCAAGATAGGCCCGAAGATTTCCTGCTGCATGACTGGTTCCCATTCCTTAACATCAGCCAGCACTGTGGGAGCTGTGGACAAGAGAGAACATCATATTGGAACATGCAAGGTCTATTGTGCACAGAGAAGACAACAAGAACATCCTGCAGGGGGCAGCAGAGGGGACAACTAGTTGGCATAGTGAGATTAGGGACTTCCTACTATTTTCAAATAGTCTCCTTCCTGTCCCCGATTGGCTCAATTGGGGTTTTTCCTGCTCCTGCTGAGAACAGTTCATTACTGACTCCCCCCCAGACAATCAGACTTCTCTTTCTCTCTCCTCTTTCTTACAAAGTTTGTTCTCTTCTTAATAAACTAACTTTATTCTTTAAACAGCTTGTGCTCCACTTTACTGCATATCTACACTCTGCCAACACATCAAGCCAGGTTATGCTCCTATACAGCTGCCATATCTGACCTTGAGGCTGCTCTTCCCAATACACAAGCCCAATACACAACTGCAGGACTTTCTTCTTTGTTCCGTCAAATCCTGACTCACATGGAAAAAAGCACTTTATAACAAGCCTTCTGTACACCACAAACCGAGGGTTTTCCTCTCTTTCTGTCATCCCTACTCCCCAGCATTAGCCTACTTGCTCACCAATGTAACGGTCACACTCATCTGTCTCCCCACCAATGGCCACTCGGCCACAGTCTAGAAGTGCACGGACACGTTGGAAATGCTTGTCGTTGATCATGCGGGCAAAGTCAGGTGATTCCTGAGGATTGCAGCCATAGAAACAACGAATAGCATGACGTAAGCATGGGATCAGCCTGTCTTGAGTATCAGCAGTACAAATCACGTAATTTGGTGCAAGGCAGCTCTGTCCAGCATTGACGAACTTTGTCCATACTATTCTGTTGGCTGCATTCTGGAAATTGCAGCAGCAATCCACATAGCAGGGATTTTGGCCTCCCAGCTCCAGAGTCAACGGTGTCAGATGTTTGGCTGCTGCACTCATGACAACTTTCCCAACATTGGTACTCCCTGTAGAAGTAAAACAAAAATTTGGGTGATCAAAAAGAGATATGCTGTTTCAGCTCCAAGAAAACTCACTCCTGTACCTAAAAAACAAACAAAAATACCCACACAAAAACACAAAGGTGCAAAAATTTGGAGCCAGGTGAGTGTGGGGTACCCCATAGCCAGGCAACCTTTAGGGTGATGAAAAAATGCACTTGTATCCCTGTGAAAATTTTAGCATGCTAGTAAACTGGGAGGGGGTGGGTGGGTCTCTTGGATAGACACATTGCTTATAGATTTAGCTACATTCTAACTGTTGCTTACTTGGATTAGAAGTGTTTGGGAGAAAGAGCACTGTAGTCCTATGGCATTTTTGTAATTTTTGCTTTCTTTTCAGCAGGGGTCGTTTCCTAGAAAAAGAGCTAGGGGAACTCATTAGCATAATACTCATTAGCATATGCCACACCCCCTGACATCACCGGAAGTGTGTCACAAGGCCACACACCCTGACATCACCGGAAGTGTGTCATAAGGCCACACACCCCACCCCCAACGGTCCCGGCCGCCGCCGCCGGCCTTGCAGCTCCACTGCCGAGCCCCATGAGGGGCCCGGCGGTGGAGCTGCAAGGCCCGCGGGAGTGCAAGGAAGCCCCGCGAAGGCCCTCCCTGGCCCCAGGCAGGCAGGGGTGGGGAGAGGCAGGGGGGAAGCAACTTACCCTCCCTCTTCTCCTGCCTCCTCCTGGCTGAATGAGGGCCGGAAGCGGGGCGGCCGGAAGCAGGGGACGGGGCTTTGTCATGTGCCCCGCCCCCCGTACCTCACCTGGGGGAACTGCGATCCCCCGCGATTCCCCCCCGAAATGACCTCTGCTTTTCAGATATACCAGTTCTTAAAAGACATGTAGGAGTACATGGGAACAGGCAGTCCTTCAGAAACCCTGATCAGAAACCAGGGCTGATTCCACAAGGAGCATGAAACTGCACACCCTTTGTGGAAGCAGCAATAAGCAAGCTAGAGGCAGTCGGGGATAGACCTGTGAAAAAATCCCCTTGTGGAAGCAGGCCATGTTCAAATGTAAAGGTTAAAACCAGTACCCTGAATTTCCCTTGAAAGTCAAAATGATCTTTTAAGACAGCTCTAATACAAGCTGGGAAGGTGGCATGTTATAGCCTGGTCTTGTCAGATCTTGGAAGCTAAGCAAGGTCAGTTTTTGGATGGGAGACCATGGAGGAAGGCTTTGCAGAAGGTGGCAATGGCAAACCACTTCTGCTTCTCACTTGGCTCGAAGGCCCTTTGCCAGGGTTGCTGCAAATTAGTTGTGACTTGGCAGCACATATGTACATACATATGATACAAGCACTACGGCTAGTAGCAGTATTTTGAACCTGTCAAAGTTTCAAAAAGATTTTTGAGGGCAGGCCAATTTACAGTGCATTACATTAATTGAACCATCAGCTGACAGGATGACATTAACTGTGGCTAGATAATTTTTCTCCCGAGCAGCTCAGAAGTGGTGTGCCAGCTAAAGATGGCTAAAGAAATGGTCTGGTATGGCTGCCATGTCAGCGTCAATGGAATAAGCTGGATCTACCAGCACCCCCCCCCCCAGCATTCGGTTTTACCCAAACCAAAATTGTACCTGAAAGTAGCAATGAGCATTTCTCTCCTGAATTTTTGGGAGTTTTTTTGGATTCTGGGGAGGTACAGGAATGGGGAGGGAAAGAGAGAAAGCTCACCAGGAAACAGCTGTTAGTTGGTGTAACAGACACCCTAAAACCTTACTAGGCTCAAGAGGGCCACCTAAGAGCATCTGTGATCTTGGACTCTGAGGGTTTCTACTAGAATGACCCATTCATTTCCATTCCACATTGGACCATCCTGCCTGACTTAATCTTCTTTGTACAAAGGCTAGACCACCTATTTGCCATGGAAGTTCAGAGCCATTACCAGATGCTTAAAGGGGGTGGGACTATATTTTTTTAATTCTCTGATTTGTAACAGTGGCCTCTGACATCAGAGATGGAGTTTTGCATGACATTCACTGACCACTGAAGAAGGCCAATGGGCTGAAACATGTACAGTCAGCGACAATAATGGTCATTTTTTGTCACTGTACATTTGTCACTGTACATTTTGATTCTTAATTGAGGCTATCACCAGAACCAATATCTGTTTTTTAATCTACTTTGTAATAAATACATGTATATTTTTGTATATGTGACTGTATTGAGCCTATACATTCAGATCTTCTTAACCTTTAGGTTCTTAATTCAGTTCAGTTTGGGTTAAATCCTGCCCACCTTTTGTCATTTCCTCTTTCC